CAACGAGGTCGTGCGACGGTTTCCATCGGCGATTAATGAGTAGAGGGAATTAGCTTGCCGGTTGATGAGTATGAAGTTAATATGTTGTTCGATCTTCATACCGAGGCAGATCTTGGTGAAAGATGTGTTCCAATAGGCCGTTAACTTGGTCTCTTGGGAGTCAAAGCCAGTCTTTCCTCCGTCAATATTGAAGGTTTCATTGTTGCTCCAGAGATTAGAATCGTAGTGAAAAGTTTTCTATTTAGCGTAAATAAACAAGAGAGAGTTTTGATAACAGACTTAAAAGACTTTAATGGTCGTATAACCTAGGCATCTCTTCCGACTAATATTCCTAAATGAAGCCTCCACACAATAGTTGTCCGTGGCCAGTGAAATTTGAGAACATTACAGTTTAACAAATTTATACCTGAGAGCCGTTTATTTTCATAACCAGCGTCCATTCACCCCCACCGCATGCGCCGAGACTGATCATGTGACATCTTTCCCCGATCCAAGGTTGTTGACAAGCGCACGAGAAGGTTTGCCTTTTTATGTCGCGAATACAGGAACCACCATTAAGGCAACCGGTCATCTGACAACCCTGGAGAAAATACATAAATAAGTCGCTCGAAAGAGATGATACTTTATCCTTAGCTATTGGTAACAAACGGCCAACGTGATAGTTAGCAGGCGGAGCCAGCCAGGAAGCTAGAATCTCTCCTGTTCCAGAAAATGATATCTTCAGCGCGTGCAGTGAACGTAACATTAATTCTTCCACATATGAAGAGAACAGCGTCGTCATGGCAACCGAACTTATTAATATTGCAGTTTTACTTTTCATGAAGAGTTATAGTTTCTTTACTTTACCGATAGAACTAAGCTTTAATTTAAATCTTTTTGAAAAAGGAAAAGTAATTTATATCAGAAGATCTTGGAATATCATCAGCAAAACATTATCGCATGCATGTGATATCCTCCATGAAACGGTAGAAACGATTACGTAATCAACTTGCCGGAAGAAATAAAACGAAGTTCATTAAACGTTTTATGTATATATTTTCTCGTGGAATAAACCTGATATTGATTATATTGAATGATGTATATTGCTTATCCTCGGTCTTAAAAGAAGGTGTAGTAGATTTAAGTCCGTTTCCTTTGTTAAGGAAAAGTTTTCCACCAAAATGATATATTTTTCAATGTTGTCAGTTAAATATTTTAATCTTTTTGATGGAACTCCATCCATTTTTATTATAAGACGTTAAGAGAACTCTCTTAGTCTTGTGGACATAATATATCGGGAAAAACGGAAATGTCGGAACTCTTTTTGTCAGATTATATTGTTATATTTTTAGTTTCGAAGGCGTTGGATAGGAGCTGAGAAAAAACATGCAGCTTCATGAATATGGCATGACAACGTGGAGTAAAATATCGAAAATTGTCTTAAAACGCATTAGGATAGGAAACAGTTTGGGATTGTTACAATTGTAGTTTTCATAAATAAGAGAAATGCTAATGTTCAGAGAGCGACAATAACCACTCACAAAGCCTATATATAAATAATACCACTTTTGACGACCCCGTTTTACAAAATTTTAAGCTAAAATGTGTCTCCTCGTGTACTTCAGATATTGATACTTTTGTTAACAAAAAAAGTCCGCTTTGTTGGCTTGGAGAACAACGTGAGGTTTATGGAATTAAGTGCCGCTCTCGCTAAGAGCGATCTTTTCAACTAACGGTTGAGAAAAAAAGTTTCCTTTATTTTTAGCCCGTGAAAAAGGGTTTCAGACACATGTTTCAAAATGGTTTGGTTGTTCTCCAATTCTCCTTTTTTGCGTCGCCATAACTTATGTAGAACATGTAGCAGATAAGCAAACGAAGCTGAACGGTCAAAGAGATGTCTTTGTTATTTTTCAGAATTATGCAAATAAGGTTTGTAAACACATTGATTTGAGTTGTTTTGAAGATGTCGGTGGATGAAAACTAGAGAGATAGTCTCTGGTTTGAGGCAACCTGTGTCCTCGTGGGTGTTTAAAATCTTCGCTGATATGCTTTTTTAGCCCTGCTTACGCCTGCATTTTGAGAATTCCGAGTCTTTGTTACAAATTGGTGAAGTGTTGATATGCAAGTTAAGAGAAGAGTCTCTCCCCGCCGATCACGCTTACGTATGATTTCAGGTGAACTTTCTTCATGTGGCATACAAACTGTGTGTAAGCTGCTTCTCATGCCTCCTCGATTTTCATACGTGGATACAAGATCTGTCGTTTGGAACAAAATTATCAACATGACAGCTCTTTACTAAAGTCCATCAC